CATGAATTGTCATGAAGTTTAGATCTTCAAAAAAATGAGCAAAAATTAAAAATCTCCCTCCATTTCAGAGGCTCTAGTTCTGCATTTTGATGCAGGCAAGAGTTCAAAGCATTAATATTTTTAGTTGCCATAGGAGACTGCATTGTATGCAGTTTTCAGTGGCATATCTTAAGGATTTTCCCCTATCTATTGTGCATGATAGACTAATACAGAGCATCTGCTGCAAACACCATAGAGCCTTCATATATATTTCCCCCAGTTGTAAAGAGCCCTACTCAGGGAGGAGCTGTGGAGCTGAGTTGCTGCGAGATGGTGGAAGCTAGCTAATAATTACAAAGATGTCAAACAATACATGTGGTAGGTGCTGAAGAGTGTTTAAAATGGATTAATTAAATGCAATGTCCAATAAATTCTATGAGAAGATTTGTTTTCTCATCCTTAGAAGGATTCTTAATAGTTTTTTATTTATAGGGGTGCTGTCTGCTGATTTAAGCCCAAGGTATCGAGCCACGTGTGAACGGGACTAATAATGCATCATATCTACATGTGCTGCTTAATTTTACATGCACAAATCCTAATGTGGGGTCCTTTTCCTCTTATTAGGGAGATTTCATTTGTAGAGACATGTATTCTAAAAATGCAATAATATGGAGAGTCATCTTTTCCTTATAAAGCCAGAAAACTCAGGGAAATTGTCTATATTGCACCAACTTGTAGCACAAATTTTTTGGAAATGCCTCCTGTGGGAGAGAATTTTTCTTTTTAACACTGAACATACAGCATTTTAACTTCTGTTCCTATATGTGTACAGCTAGCCATTAAAGAAATCCATTAATAGATGTCATTTAAATGGTTTGCATAGCTGAAGGTGGTCTGTTGAGACTGAAAGAGAATTGCTTTACAGCAAAGTGACTTCACTGAAACATTCATGGTTCTGTATTCGCTTACACAATATTGGTAATCTTCAAGTATTTCTTTTAAAAAGGAACAATGTGAGTATGATGAGTTTTGTCAAGAAAGGATGGTTACACTTAAACTAGTATGGAATTTTAGATTACAAAATTATTTTCTGGTTCTGGAGAAGTACTCGTTTTCTTGCATGCACATTGATCTTTATTCTGTTGTCATTTTGGAAGGTGTGAGTCAGTGTCGAGTGGTCACATGAAGCTGATAAATTCCTGAAGCTTTGGTACATAAAAGTACCAAGGTGTGTGTACCAAGTTATGTAAATAAACATGCCAAAAGTGTGTGTTTTCCTCCAGATTGAAACACAAGCTCTCAACTCTAAATGACTTACCAAGAACGTGTTCTTCCCAAAGTGACAAGTTCAATGCTGCTCATTAAGTAGTTTCTAAAATGCAAAATGAAGTGGAGCTGCAAAGATTTAGCTGATGATGCCTTTCTTGATGTGCATTAGGAATTCAGAGCAAACACCAGCACTGCACCTTGTGTCTGTCTGCCTTTGCAGAGGAGGCATCCCTTAATTTGCAGAAATGCATCTTTTTTTCAGATTTGCATAATTAAGTATTAGAACATTTCCCTCTTTACTCAGCTCTGGGAAGAGTTTTAACATCTCAAATAAAGGTAATATTTGGTAAGGAATGGAAGGAATCAGTGGGGTTTTTCTTCCCAAAATCCTTCATTACCTGGAAGCTGTACATGGCTCAAGGTAGGCTCCTACAGTAGATCAGTTTTGGGATAGAATATGTGAAATTTGTCACATGGGTGCTTTGCTTGCATGCAGCCACCCCGTAATCCAAGTTCAGGGAGTTGGTTTTCTACAGCACATGGATTTGGGGGAAGGTTGGTCACTGTTACTGAGATGCTCAACCCACGTTCTGGTGCTGTTTGTTAGGCTTTGAGCCCAAGCTCGAAAGGACAAACCAAGCTTTGGATTTTGAAGTTCAATTGCATTATTTCTCTTACCCATTGTTGATGTCTGGTGTTGTAAAATAATCTGCCTGAGTGCCTGTAAAATGTTCTATTCCACTGAGGCCAGAGTGGAGGCTTTTCACTGAACTTGCACAGCCGTGCTTGTGCCGAAAGCAATGGTACATTTGAATTTCTTTTTCTTTCTATATGTTAATGTGGATGTTTGCTCATTTCTGTGCTTGTTTAACATGAATCTACTGCTTGACTGAAAAATATTTTGTATTTGTAAACTGTTTCCTGTGGCTTGTTCACTTGTGAATGCTCAGTCTTATATGGTTTTTTTTGGGCCTGCTGAATGATCTTAACCAATTATGCTGGTTTTGGGAATGGATTTAACACAGCAAAAAATCTTAAATGGAAGACGTTTGACTGTTTTAACTGAGCACTTTGAGAATGTTTGTGTTCAGGCACAAAAGGGTGTGATGTGCAACTTGTCCTGCAGTTGTGTGAATAAGTAATTTCTGAAGGCGACACGTCTCTAACAGAGATTGAAGGCTTAGAAAAGGATTTTTCCCCTACGTTTTCTAGTCCCTGCACTATTTTTCTGTCTAGAAAGGATGGTAGAGTGTGCTGCAAGGAAGATAGAATGTGGATAAGAAGCTCAAGGTCTACAGACAGTGGTTTTAGGTGTTAGTGATGACTAACTTTGGGTTCCTCCACCTTGGACTTTGAAGGAACTCAGCAGTCCATGTTGTGCTTTGTAAAGTAGGTAGGGTTGGGTTTGGTGGTTTGGTTTGAGTTTTTTTGTTGTTGTTGTTGTTGTTGTTGGTTTTGTTTTTTTTTTGTTTTTTTTTGGGTGGGGTTGTTTGTTTTGTTTTCCTTTCCCCTGGGGTTTATAATATAATTCTGTAGAATATAATGTTTAATAGTGGGGAACAACCCCTGAGAAAGGTGCTTTTAGCCTTTGTCTTGGTGGGGTGAGCTTCCCACATACTTTATGGAAAGCAATCAAACAGGCAGCTTCTCAGTGAGCCAGAAGAAAATAAATGGAAGCATTGTGAATTTTTTAAAAACTTCTCTCCTGCTAGTGTTAGGAGCCTGAAAATCTTTTTGATCAGGTCAGTTATTTTCTCCTATGCCTTTGCATTTCAGAGAGCAACTAACTTACTATCTTCTTATTGTTAGTCTGTGGATGTGGTTTTCCGTTTATGGGGAATATTTAGAGCTGTTTGCCGACTCTGAATTTTCAGTGCAGAAAAGAACCCCATAAAAATTAACAAGCCAACGTCTGGAACTTTGTCATGGGGTCCTTCGAGCAGGTGAAACAGAACGCTAAGAGCTAGTTTATGATAAATGCTGCCAAGGACAGGCAATCAGAGGAGGGAGCAATAAATCACAGGAGCAGGTGAGGTGCTGCTGGCAACACCACTGGCAGCAATGTCAGAAAACGGCTTTCTCCACAAATCCTCCCTTCAGATTAAAGGAAAAACAGACTTTGTGGGTTTTTTTCCTTAACATAAGCATTGCTGTAATTTTTTTTAGGATCCATCTTGATGGGAAGGGAAGCATATACCTTTCAGTAAATGATACTTCCACCTGATATCTCCTAAACATAAACAGCAGTTATCTTGCATGAAATGAATGCCATTAGCATGTTGTCTGCTGTTAGTGATTCACCTCTTATTAAATTCTGATGCTTTCCAGATGGTAAAGGCAAAGCTACTGGGAAGAGTTTTTTTTGATTGATAGAGCTGAACTTTTTCCCCAGAAAACTGGATTATATATGATCTATATGAATATTTTTGTCTCTTTTCTTGTGGTTTTCAAACCAGATACGGGTTAAGTTTTCATCTAAATTATTAGCTGAGCTCATCCCCACTCTGCAGTCGCATACAATGGTGAGTTCTCTCTCTGAAAAAAAAACACAACCCCAAACCTGTGGTGGATGAGAGACATCAGCTGCAGACAGTGGGTCTGACGTGGAGAGGTTATGTGCTAACTCTTGCTGGGATGTCTCCTTAGGCTTCTTAGCAGTACCCAGTCAAAGCAACCACCTGGTTGCTTCAGAACTTTCTTGCTCCTCGCAAGTCTAACTGTTCAACTCAATGTTTTGTTTTGCCTGCTTATTTTATTGTTGGTTAACCAGTTTTCTTTCCTTTATCTTGTATATGATGGGATCTCCGCTAGACAGAGGTAACAGTGGGGGACAGTTGTGTAGCTGGACCCTCATGTGGTGGTGTTTGTCAGTGGTTTGCCCTAAAACCTAAATTCAGCCTTGTTTTCACCATGCTTCTGTGCTTGCATGACCTGGTTTCTGTGGAATAACCTCATCCCTGCCTACTTTCCTTTATATTAATTTTCCTCTGTGAGTGTGTGTGTGCCTCCTCCTGCTGTGTTCTAAAAATGGATCACCTGTGTGGATTTCAGTGTGTGTTTCCTAACAGTTTTATGGATCCTTTTCAGTCTTTGAAGCTTCAGTAGATCAAAGGGACTTGGATTTTTAGGTTAGTAAGGGAGATAAGCTGATAAAACCTGTGGTATTTTCTATTAAAACAAGGCATTGAAGAAGAACTGGAGTAAGAAGGAGAGACATTGAGATTGATAGTGGTCCTGGTCCTCATAGTGAGCTTACAAAGCACACTCCTGAATCATGTGCTTTTGATAACAACACAGTTTTAATAACTTTGATCATTCATTTTATTAATGTGGAATAGTTTTGGCTACTGCTACAACCAAGTATAACTAAAATGCTATTAGTGAAATAGAATAATTACCTTTTTGAATCCTATATTAAAAATGTCATTTTCATAACACTAATCTCTCAAACATTCACATCACTTTAAGCATATAGTTTTATCTGCATTTCAGCTAGGCTAAACTAACTAATTAATATTGTGCAATTCCTTTCCCCTCATTTCAGATGGGGAGGCACTGATCTTTGCAGAACATGTCTGACAGATTTGAAGGCTGGAAAAGGTCCACTGACAATGAATGGAGATAGTAGGGGTGTGTGTTTGTGGAGTGGCTTGTTGGTTGGTGGTAAGGATACAAATAATGGCTTCTGTTTCTCTAGTTAACCAATTGCTTTTATTTTCTTTTTTTGGGGTGTGGGTTGGATGAATAAATAGAAATTATCCCAGGAGCGTGAGAAGTTTGCTGATGAGGACAGCATATTTTACGCACTTGGAGAATGTGGACTCATTTCCTTTTCTGACTACATCTTCCTCACAACAGTCCTTTCCAGTAAGTACAGAGGGATTTTGTCTCTGCAATTACTTTTTTTCAAATTTGAATGTTTACAAGCAATGAGTTTGCTATTGTTGTCTACATATATTTCCCTAAAAGGAATTCTTGATTGCTTGAAACTTTAGCCGAGTGAATAATTCCTCTTGCTTCATCCAATTTGGATGTAGCTTCGAGTGGTTCAGAAGAATAAACAGGTTGATGACTTCTGAAGATTTCTCATTTCAAAATGTGGTCATTTTTTTTATGAACCATTTGACCTACTGTTCAAAGCTGTACATGGAGATGTGTTCTTTGAGTTGTGTTCATATGATATTCTTCTGTTTGGATGAATATTGCTTTTCAGCTCTTTACTGGTTACAAGACTGTTCAAACTCTCTTCTCCAGCGGTATTTTCACTTGGGTAAGCTCAGGCTTGTGCGTGATGTAACCTAATGAGGAGAGAAGTTAAGCTGTTTACATTTCAACCAGTACCATTAGATACCTTCTGTCTTTTCACCCTGCTGCACTTGACTTGCATTTGTGATATTTCTGTGATCTGCTAATCTGTTCCAGCGAAGTCTTCTGCACTTGAAGTGCTGGCACTCTAGAAGTTTGCCTTGCTGGCAAGAAGCAGTGAAACTGATGCCTTTGGTAATGTCAGATGGCATTTCTAGACGTTCTTCATGGGGAAAACAAGCTGAAAACTCCATTTGCAGAACTTCTCTAGCTGCTTGGAAAGTGCTGCATAACAAAAGGGGTAATCAACAGAAATTCCAATTATTTTTCAGCCCCGTTGTGGCATAATGAGGAATATGCTCAAATGGACTTTGGACATTTTATTTTCAGACTTTAAAAAGAGATAAAAGTTAGATGTCTAATCTTGCACATAACTGCTTCATGATGGCCTCATTACGGGAATTAAAAAGTTGATCACTTCCCAGTTTGCTGTAGACCTTTGCAAAGTTCCCTGTGCTGTTCGGGGAGTAATCATTGGTAATTCCCTGATGTTTTGTAAAAGCGACAGGAACTTTGTTTTGTTTTGTTTTTTCCTCTGTGTTCTTGCACGCTGTAACACGGACAAGTGAAGAGGCAGCTCTTCATTTACTGAACACGGTGTGTCAGAGGATCTATGAGGGGGGAGAAGCCATGTTCAAGGTCTTGTTTGTTGTCAAATGCAGACGGTGCAAGAAGAAGTATATGTGAACTTCATGTTGTGAAAACAAACACTGACAGATAAAGCTTGTTCAAGCCAGGGAATTTGTTAGGATTTTAGTCAGTCTTTTTCTTTGAGTCTCAGAACTGAGCCTTAAGACTTTTGCTTTCTTGTGTTAGTCTAGCTTGTGCTGAAATTATCTAAGGTATTTTCACTTGTGTAGCCAGGGCTTTTAATCCGAGTCTCTGCAGATGACGATGAACTCTCAAACCTATAGTATCATGTTACTGAATATGCTTTAGAAAACACTCATGCCCTTGGCTTTATGGCTGGGCTGGTGGTGAGCAAGCTCCTAATTAGGTATGCAGGGTGAAAATTAATTTCATGTACTTCTACAGACAGCAGCAAGAGAAATTGTTCTTGTCTTGCTTTAATTTCTTGGTTGTGAGAATAAAAGAAAAGAGACCGTCTTGTGTTAGAGGAGCAACCAGCCTTATTTTGGAGGCTTGTGCAGGAAGAATGTTTGGTTTGTTTTTTTTTCCTTTTTTTCTTCCTCTTGTTCTCGGGCTTTTAAACATGTTCATAGTTACTGGGGAATCAGACTAACAAGAGGAGACTGAATTGGGTGGTTTGTGTTTTGAGGATTTATGTGAAGGGTGGACAAGGAAAGTGCTTCCAAAAAGGAAAAATGAAAAAATCAGAAGAGGAGGAGAAAAAAAAAAAAAAAAAAGATAATTAAGTCTTCCAGGATTTTTGGTTGACTTTTGGGTAATTTTGGGGGTTTGCTGAATGGACATGGAAGATGGAGGAATGTGTCTGGAGCTACTGTCAAACTGATTCTCCAGAGGAAGAGGTTTGTTTTCATTTTTAAAGCATTTGCTTTTACAAAAATAAACCTTCAGATCAAATCTTGCCCTGTAGCTACATAGAAAATTTACCGCTACATCTTGCTGGTTTACTCTCCTACTAGTGAACGTGACTGCAGGAATTCAGTAGTTTCTGATTACTTCTGCTCCCCTGGGAAATAAATAAAATAGATTGAGGAAAGTACATCTTAAACCTGACAGTTCAATATTGGTTTTCTCACTGTGTTGTTTAGATAACCCATACATTAAGAACCTGCTAAATACTGAGGAAGGAAGGTCATGTATGGAGCACTAAAGTAGGACAATTGGAAGGGGAGTGCGAGATCAGGTCTGGGGATGGGAGGCAGGAGGAAAAGGTGCTCCTTTGTCATGCTCAGAAGTGATGGGGAGAGATCAATCGTTGTCTCATCTGGCTTACTGAACTCAAAACTAATCAATGATAACCTCTGAAAACAAGAAGACCAACAGGTCTTGTGTTAATGTGCTCCTCAAGAGAGTTGTACCCGACAAGTCTTCTGAGACAGCTCCTGCGCATCTCCCTCGCTCTACCAAAAGCACCAATGGGCTTTGACAGTGCTTTCCCAAAGAATTTAGTGTAATTTTTCTTTGCAGCTTCAGTTGTATTCTCTGAAATGTGGATGGCGTGGCAGCTGCCGGGGAGGGAGAGGAGGAGGGAAGGCTAGAGGCTTCATCTGGATGTTGCTTGCAGAGGGCTCTATGCATATTGCACAGAAAATGAAGTCTGTCACCATATTTTATGTACAAGTGATTCTCGCTCTGGCACTGTCTGTTCTCATCAGTTGCTATGTTTCTCTGAAAATATATTTTTAAAACAACTAATAAAAGAGCTTTTAACCACTTAAGGAAAGTCAGCTTTCTATTAAAGGCAATGAGAGCAGAGCAGCCTTGAGGGTACCCCACGATTTCTGTTGCTTCAGCCACTCCCTGTGTTTTGGGTCAGAGGTAGAACAATGAGCAAAATACAGGATAAGCAAAATGCTGATGAGATTTACACCGAGCCTTTCAAATGTCATAGGCAAGTGAAGACATTGATTCCCTGACCAAAGAGGCTTTTGCTTTTGGACTTGCAGAAGACGTGGAGGAAGGAGCAAAAGAGCTTTGCCACCACTGGTGACTGCAGTTTCAGAGCAGATGTGGTCTGTTGTCCAGGCACACTAATGCCTGCTTGATTAACAGGTACTGAAGGGAGGAGGGCATTAAAAGAACAAGTTAGTGTTGTTTCTGTAATTGAACTGTCACTGTATCTGGATTTACTTCTCCTAGAAGGAGGGTTAAGTAGCACTGGCTCAAGTCAAAGTGATTATTCTCTTGCCAGGGCTGCCGTAGCAGACCTGCAGCAACTTCTCCCATTTGCTGCAGGCTCTTTCTAGAGCTGCGCCTCAAGGCCTCTTGCCTAGGATAGGTTTGCCTTTTGTTTTTTTCTCTTTCTTCTCTGTAAGAAATAAATCCCAAGCTGTCTAGCTCTGGAAGTTGTTTTTTGGCTGGATATTGAGTGCTGTGCGGGTCCTCGGGATGGCGGTGGCACGACGTGCTCCCCCGCACTGCTGCACACAGACAACATGATCTCCAGGGTCTGTTTGCACTGCAGCCATTTTGAGTATGTATTGCTGGCTGACAGGAATGTCTTCAGCCTCCTTCCCTACAATGAGTGAGATCTGTTGTCTTACCAGTGGCATTTTAATCTTCAAAAGCAGCACTAAGTGCCACAGGGCTTGTTTCTACAAGAAAAGGAGATAAAAGGTTGCTTTGAGTTTATAGGAATATTTTTGTTTGTGGTCCTATTCATGTTAATATTATCTTTAAACTTTCAAGACCCTCTGTTTACCTACACAGGTTCATCTTTTCCACGCTATATGGTGCATGAATATCTTCCAGTACCTTTCTGCCAGCCCAGTCACTGCTATATGTGATTTCCAAGATATGTCTCAGTAGCACAGAGATCCTCTTCCAAGGCATATCCCAACTTCCAAACATGAGCCTGGTTGGTTCATGTCAGACCCAGGGCTGTCTGGCTCAGCATCCCACCTCTTGCCATGGGCTGGTAGCCATGCAGGAGGACAGAAACAGGGCATATTTCTCACAGTTGGTGGTTTGCGATATTCCCAAGTACAGCTTGACCCTCTACAGTTTGAAAACTGAAATTCGGGCCTGGGATAGCCCTACCAACCTCTCCACTTGCAGTCTTCACATGGTCTTTATCTGTGTATCTCTTCATCCCTTTTATTTGTATGGTGTGCTGGGCTGATGGTTCTCTACCAACCTCCTGTGTCACAGAGGGCAGTAAATATGCAGTGGGAAGGACTACTGTGTGCAGCACGTGGTTGAGAAGTTCCAGAAACTGAGTCACGACTATTTCTATGAAATTAAGAAATGAAATAATTTTGTGTCACTCATACCAATATCCCAGAACCTGCAAATGTTTGGGGTGTCCTTTATTCTCCAGGGGTTCCCTGGAGAGTGCAGCTTCTAATTTCCTTCATCTGGAGCTGCCATTTCCACAGCTTGTTTGCAGGTCCTTATTTCAGAGAGGTGTTTAAGAGGGACTCTTGATTTCCAGTGATGATCTGTGAGTCGTGTGGTGCCTGATGAGAGGTTGTTGAAAGATAAGTCTTGTATGCCGGCTGAGGTGCCGTCACGTTCTCTGACACTGAGGCATATGCTTGTCCTTGATGTTAAAACACAAATACACAGGTTGGTGACAAAATCAGTGTTTTTGGTTCACAAATTATCAAGCAAAATGAGAAGTGAAACAGCAATCTTTTTTTTTTTTTTATTAAATATAAGAAAGATTAAAAATGGGGTCACCTGGTACATTATTTGTTAAAACCAAAATACAAACGTTGGTGTCAAAATCACAGTGTTTTTGGTTCACAAATTGTCAAGCAAAATGAGAAGTGAAATGGCAATCTTTTTTTTTTTTTTATTAAATATAAGAAAGATTAAAAATGGGGTCACCTGGTACTTTATTCCAAGGAAGA